CTCAGATACTTAGCGTAAACAGCTTAATAAAACGATGATATATTAGTAATATTACAGTCTTCTGGAACCCCAATTGCTCAGATACTCAGCGTCAATGCTTCAACGATGATACACTATTCTAGTCTTCAATATATTATCGTTTGAGCCATTGACGCTGAGTATCTAAGTAATCGGGGGTTATTATGAACAGGGGGGAACCTACTGTACAGTACTGTACGTACAGTACACTGCACAGTGTACACTACACTACAGTTGTTGACAATGGGATGAGTAGACCAGCAGGGTCTCTGAGCGCTGCCGCTAGGTGGTCCATGTCAAAAGATATCAACAGTAGTAACCGCGTGGCGTGATTGTACTAGGCGTGACGTGTTGTACAATGTACAGTACAGTACAGTAGATGTGTGATCTTTTCAGTCCAACACGATGTACTGTACTGTACTGTACAGTACAGTCCTTTTACAGTGTACAGTACTGTACAGTACAGTCCTTTTACAGTGCTGTACAGTATAGTACTGTAATGTACTGTACTGTACCGTAGTAAAAAAGGCTCAGCATTCATTGAATTTTTTCGTATCGTACGGTAACAGAGGGCCGTTTACAGTACTGTACAGTACCGTACTTTGGCCATTGCAACACATACCAGGAGTTCTTTTGCTTTAAAGGAACCACGCACAGTACAGGACAGTAGTAGTACAGTACGTACAGTAAAATACAGTACTTTGTACTTCAATAAAGTACTGTACGTAAACACTACCGTACTGTACTGTACTGTACTGTACTGTACCGTCGTCCCTGGACCATCTAGTCTCTACGGTACAGTACAGTATGCGCTGTACTGTATGTACTGTATGTGTTAACAAATACAGTATGTACAGTACTGTACAGTATAGTAAATCGTTCTTTTGATACACGTACCGTACTGTACTGTACAGTGTACAGTGTCCAGTACTGTACAGTACTATATTGAAATGCACAGCTATCAAGCTTTGAGCTACAGTACTGTACAATAGGCTGCACCATGAACAACAAGACGAATTCTCATACTGTACAGTACGTTCTCCCATTAGTTCGATAACTCAAAGTACTGTATGATCGGCATCAAGCGATG